CCCCCTCCCCCTCCCCTCCGCCGGCTGTACTTCCTGCCATGGCCACTCGTTCTGTCTTTTGCATCGACGAGGGCTTAAAGCCCCATTAGAGTAAACTATACGTAGATAAAGTCAGATATTTAGTTCGATACGCATCAGGCGAGAAATCGAATCGCACATCCGTCCGGTCGACCCGGCCCGGACTTTCGGACTTTCGCAGGTAGCGGAAGAAGGCGAAGAAGAATCGTCGAAGAACCGCTGAAATTTGCGGAGTTCGTTGGAACTGTCAATTTGACGCGCGTTATCTGGGGGTACCGGCCATGGTCGCGACCGGTTCGAACGAAATTTGTCGTCTATACGCGCGTATTACACACACCGGCGCTCTCTCTCTCCCGCTTTCTCTCTCGAGCGTTTATACTAAAAATTTAAATAATTGATGGATTGTTTCAACAACTTTGTTACAAAACTTGCGACTGTGCGACGCTCGAATCGATACGCTTAAAAACGTTGGAAAAACGCCCGGTGTAATGCGGCGGATATTGTACAAACGCTCAAATAATCGCAAATCGGGTGATCTGCATATAATTCCAAAAGGCACTCGACGCGTTAAAAATAAATTCAGAGTAACGAATTTTAAAAAGGCGGGGTACGGAAAAGCGTAGGTGTGTGTGTGTTCGCGCGTGATGCGTTTGTTGGGATATACTCACGAAGGCATTGCCGGGCGGTTAGCGAGCGAAAAAGCGGCAAAAATCCTCCATGGATTCTATGAGAATGCATCATGACGACGTCGTGACAAAACCCGATATGCGGGCGGCAAAAATCGAGCACAGCGACAAACCTTGTTATCTCTTTGACGCTCGTAAGAAACGGTATACCTATGTACCACGCGCGTGTCATAAATTGCCACGCGATTTATTATTTCCTCCTTTTTTTACTTTTTGAACTACCTTTATGCCGTAATCTTGAGAGCGATACGTTTCTTCCTCCCTGCCTCTCTTTGCCTCTTTCTCTCTCTCTCTCTCTCCCCCCCTTTCTCATCCATTGAAAAGAACTGCTTTCTACACGTTTCTGCTAAAGCACTGAGACGCTTTTTCCGCTTTACCCGGTCAAGTTTATTACCGAAAATCTACCGTATCGTAGAACAGAACTCAACTTGTCTTGCAATTTGAGAGAAAAATTACACAAATTACTGCGGGCTCTAAAGATACTCATAAAGTATTGCAAACTTTTCTGGGTCATCATCTCATGCAACCTGAGCATTTTTTACGTTGTTCAAATAATATAAATTACACACATATTGTTAGTATACGGTATAAATATTAAGGATATTAAGATGATAAATTTTAAGCCATGCAGGCAGATAATGGGAGGAAATTTTTCTAAATCTCTCTCTTTCTCTCTCTCTCTCTCTCTCTCTCTCTGAATCTTCTAAATCTTTCGATACACGAATAATCGGGAAATAAGCTGCGAGAATAAACATGCGACATCCAATGTGCGCTTACGTACCTCATCGACACAGGTTTTGCAGAAATCCGACGTTAGACTTAACATCGTTGTTCGACTACCTCCTTATACGGTTCACCGATAAAATTGCGTCGTCGTTACCTTGTGCTGCGAGCCAATTAATTAATTAGTCACGCTAATTAATTAGCCGGCTGCATATCGCCGTTTTAGATTAATGCACCTAAATTGGATAACGCCGCGAGAATGAAGCAGCAATTACAAAGTTACAACGGTTCACTACGACTCCATCTACATCCGCTTATGCGCGCGCGCGCCCCGACTAATCTCACATTAAATTATAATCTGCTTCGAGCGTTCCCGCGAAATCATTTCGTGCGTTACACCGCGCTGTGCGGTACATCTCCGCGAATAATATCCGGTCCTCGATAAACAAGATCGCTATCTCGTTATAAGGAATATACGACCGGCTCGAAATATCGTCGGAAATTAATGGACGTCGAGTGGCTCGCGTTAAGCAAACAAGACAAGTCGCTCGGGCATGCCTATCCGAGACTCCATCTAGTTTGTTTGTCGAGCGTAAGCTTAAAAAATAGCCTCCTCCAAACATAGATTATAGCTTTAACTCGAGCTTTCGTTGACCATCGTTTACCCCCGAACTTCGGTGAAAAAGAAATTCGGTGAAGTAGATTTGCGCATTTCTCTTCTCGGGTATTCAAATAACCAAGAAAAAGAATGAAAGAGAGAAAGTAAACGGAAGTACGACGAAGAAAAGCGCGACGAAGAGACAGCGAAGCGAACGGTTCGTCTCGAGTTTGGCATTCGAGTCGAGCGCTTCAGTTGATCCGGTTTACTCCTCGCGACTCGGTTCTTCCTACTTAAGTAACGACTCGAGGATTCGTTCGAGGCGGGCTGCAATTTATCGAACCTGAACGGATGAAGGAGAGAACGAGAGAGATAGATCAGGGGAGAACAAAAGCTGACATTTCAAAATGACCGTAAAGTTACGGTTATCCACCCTTGCCTACAGATACAATCGCAGCATGCACACACTACCCCCCCCCCCCCTCGTGCGCGTCTCCGGCCAGGCTAATTAGACAAGCATTTACTACTCGTGCGTAATGATGCTAATCCTACTTTTCGGTGTCGATACACAGCCAGCAGTTGTGATAGGATGAGCCGAGAAACGATTTAAAACGTATGCGGCAATGCACGCACGCATCCGCGCTGCCGGTGGCCGCGCACACGCGTGTGTGCGAGCGTAAGCGCGTATCACGCGCGCTTACGCACGCACGCACGCACACACTCGCGCGGAAAGAGAGGCATCGTCGTACTAATCCAAGCTGAATAGAGAGATTTCGATGTTTTTATGCCGGGGCACAATGGAGTACCCACTTGATGCTTAGCTCTCCACTGCTTTTTATTAAATCTACTGTGCGCCAACGCCTGATGTGGACCGGTCGACTACGGGCCGGGACAAGGGGGGAGGGGAGGAGGGGAGATCGAGGGTAGTCTCGTGCAGGCGGAGCGAAATGAAAAATTTATTTACCGTCGCGGGCACATGTCGAGCTTAATGACGAATCGCTCCTCCGCTCGTCACCGAAGGGAGAGACGAGGAGGTGAATCGTCGGACATTCTGTCCGATAATACACGCGATAATTGGTCAATGGTCGGCGTGCGATATTGTGCGACATGATGCTAATGTCGTCGAATTACGCGACGTACATTTGACAGATGTTTATTTCTGGTGGATTTCCGTTACGTGCCCACGCGGATTATAATGCGTCTAAGCGTCAAGCGTCAAAAGCGATTTGCGAGCGCCAAGTCCGGTAGCTCGGCGAGAGATGTACCTCCGTGAGACAGGGGGCAGATTACAAGTGGCCGAGGACTTTACGCTGAAAATCTAATAAAATCCTTAAGAGGACTTAACCGTTAATACCGCCGGCCGCGAGTTTTCCGGCTGGGATAAAAACGCGACCGCGCACGCTCGAGAGTAATGTGTGTGTGTGTGTGTGTGTGTGTGTGTGCCGGGAGAGGGGGAGCGCGTTTGTGAAAATTCGTAGGACGCGCCAATTCCTTGAATGTATCTATTTTTGTGTATTGTTATTTTTATTGTATTGTCGGATTGACGCGAAAGTTCCTTCCGTTTCTCAATCGGTTCTTTGCTCAGAAGTACGAGGATTTCTACAAACGCGGGATCACGCGGTCAGAGGGATAGCAGGTCACCGGACAAAATGGCGCATATTTGATTGACTGATTTTATTTTAATAAATAAATAAATATTTTTATTATTTACGTATATTTTGTAGCTTACAATATGCAGTTTTTATTTGTACAGTTCGTTTGTTTTCAACGTAATAAATAATATTCGATAAATTAAGTTTTTTCCCCTTAGATGACGTATATACCGGACGTATATACCGGAGTTACTCGATATGTTATTTTCACATAAAATTTGTTTATAAATAGTACCAAAGTGTTACACTTTTTGTGTTAATTTCTGACACATTTGAGTTGTTTCTTAACGTGTTCACTTTGTTTGTTAAATCAACACAAAAATTTGAGTAAATGTGTTAAATTTAACGCAAATTTTTTTACTGTGTGCTTTATTAGAATATTCACGGTATCCATCATCGTCATCCTTATATAATACTATCGAAGGATGTTTTAACGCAGGATTGGCGGAGGCTTGTCTGCAGCCATCTGGACAGGTAGTGAGAGGCAACCTTCACCACGGGGAACGTGAGTCGCATTCGTCATTTTTGATGAAGCGAACCGTAAATCGTAAACGACGTGGAACAATTCGCGCGAGAACATATAGACATTGGCCGCGCGAACACACACAAATAATAGCTCTAATAATTTACATACATATATCCGTCACATCCAAAAAATTGTTCGTATTTTCGTTTCGTGATTTTGCGCGCGCGCGCGTACTCGCGCATCACGTGCAGCGTTTCCGCGTTTGTGTACCGCACAAGAGACACAGCGTACATCCGCTGTAATACACGCGACGTTTGCGTGTCGTAACGTCGTGCCGCAAATTCGCATTACAGCTGTTATCGCTGCGATCGCTTATAAATTAAAAACCAAGTAAATCCATTATAATATATCTCTTGTAGAAAAGAGAGAGAGAGAGAGAGAGAGAGAAGGAAAGAGAGCGATGAAGGAAAAATTTTTACACAATTCGAGATAAAAGCCCCCGAGTCGAGTCGATCGTTTCAGATTACAACGTACACATGCAACGTTATTTTTCTGCCGTTGCAGTCCTGTTAATATCCTGAAAATCCCGACATGTTCGCACCGAATAATTTATATACAGTTCCACGGCGCGCACACCATTTTCCGCCTGTAAATTTCCCGATGTGTTTGAGGTCAATTTTTTGGCGAGAGAAAATAGCCGGCCGGCGCGGCTCATTTGTTACAATTTTGCGATTTTCTTGCCATTTAAACGTCATTGCGACTAATTCTCGAATTAGCGCGCGCGTTTGTTCGATTATAAAATCTAAAATAAAGCGGAAAGTCGGACTCCCGATTGTTCGCGTGCTCGAATTTTAATTTCGACGAAAGTGACCCCCCCTCTCTTCCTCGTTTCCGAGTGAACAATGAGAAGACGAGAGTGAGATGAAGAGATAAGGAAAAGAGGTGAAAAAGTATCGACGTCTCGATATCGTCCGATATCACTTTTCATCGTAAGTTCGACGCCGCCACGATGCGACGGCTCCCATTTTTTTTTATTCAAATCGACAAATACACCCAAGTAGAAATTAAACCAGTTTTTAGCCAGTAACTGGCCAGTAATTCTCCAACTAGCTAGTTTCTGATCAGTTTTACTGGCAAAAACTTACAAGTTTCGGAGACTTTTGCCTCGACAATAACTGAACAGTAAAACTAGCCAATTTCTGACTAGTTCCTAATAAGATTTTGAACATTTTCTTTGTTTATTATTTCGCCTAGTTTCTGACCAGGAAATTGCCAAAAAACACTAACCATAATTTTAAAAGTTTTGCTAGGAGAAACTGAAACTATCTAGTGTATTAACTTACTATTTTTTTGGAATAGCTTATTGCAAGTAACTGGCTAAGAAATAATAGTTAATATTTTCTGGACAATTTCTGAACAATTACTGTCTAATTAATTCAAGCAGGGGAAAAACTGTCCAGTTTCTGTCTAGTTTTTCCCTAACATTTTTTTACTCGGATACATCGGGGTAAGGCAGAGGCGTTCGTGCGTTTAATGAAAAACATCAGACAGTCACTCGCCGCTCCGTTTACCCCGCAAACCGCGGTTGCTGGCTGCCACCAGTAGCGAATACACGTAATAACGCGGTTCTTTAAACTCAATAGCGCGATTTATCACGCCATGACAATTCCGCAAAGGGCACGAAACAAACGGCCGTTCTCGTGCGTCCGTCCGGTCGCCGCCGCCTAATCGCGCGCGCGCATGCACTCGCGTGTCGCAACATCGTGTAGCAGTAAATTCACGTTACACCGATCGTCGCTACAGATTCGTGACCCGCGACGACCTAATTACGTTTATGCTGCTTTTAATCGCGCAACCCTAAACTTGACGGCGCATTTCGCGCGACCGTGCGCGTATCTTCTCCCTTCGTCGTTGTGCGAAATTCGCAACTTCGTGCGTTTACCTTGAGATCGAGATTACACATTTTGTTCGTCGCACTTATCTTCTCCCTCCCGTGCAAACAGCGGATTTTAGAAAAATAAAAAGCGGGCAGAAGAAGACATCAGTTTTCTGATTCTCCACGGATTTTCCAAAGCAGCTCCTCGTCAACAAAGTTGAATAAGTAAAAATGGAAAAAGGAACGGGGAAAGTCTAAAAACAACAAACTGTGATCGTCGATTCGAAATTCGAAATCATTTCGTAACTCCGACAGCACAAATTTTTCACAATTTACTTTGAACAGTTGAATTTGCAGTATTGAGTTAATTATCTCAATTCATTTCTTTTTTTTTTTCAGAAAATATTTTAATATGTACAATTTCATGCAATTCATTTTCCACTTCCAATTTACTCCAATTCATACGATATAATTTATTACTTAGTGCAGGAAAATAACGTTAATAGATCCCCGACAAGAATGAAGACGGATTATAATGTACGCATCGCATTCGCGGCGTAATCTGCAAACAGCTATGAAAATCAGCGACTAGTCGCTTTTAATGACTTGGAAAAGCGGTCGGTTGTCATTTGCAAAATTACCGCATGATTACGCGCCTTATCAGATAATGCTCGTGTGTTTGACTCGCGATGTGTCGACCTAGATAACTCACTTTGTTACAAAGAGAGAGAAAGAGAGGGAGAGAGGAAAAAAGAGAGCGTACCGGCCGCTATCGCTTCGCGACCGATCGGTATCGGGGTAATAAAAACTGTAACGAACTTGCTAGTTGGCTTGAATGATCAAGGATTCCGCGAACGTTAACGAGAACGGGCGAAGTTATCGATTTTACGGTCATTACGATCGTACACAAAACATTTCACGGAGAGCACGATTATTTCATTTCGCCGAATGGACTGCACCGCCGTTGTATATTTTAATCGGCACGCGTACACGGACTGAAGTGCGGGCACTCGACGAGCAGAACTTTCGAAGGAAAAGACATTCGACTTACAGGTGGAATTAGAAATTCCGCTCGCTCGCAGGCTCCGACTCTAACCGATTCACGATCGTCATTAACGACACATTACGGACGAACATTGTTGCATTGTGGAATCGTCATCAATTATACAGCGTTATTAATCATCAAACATCACCAGAGCGAAAAGTTACTTCACAGACATCGATAGATTTATTGACGAAGCGATCTAGGAGTGTTTTCATAGCTACTTTCAGGGTTAACAGCTGTTCGCTCGTTCCACGACAAACTCAAGCGGTAAAATCGCGATACTCCCGATTGAAAACTCGAAAGAACCTAAATTCGCCACTACCGGCATGTTTCCCCGAGTCGGGCACTCACCTTCGTCCTTATCGTGACCCAGTATTTGATCGATGCTGTACACATTCCTCTTCTGATTGTAAGTCTGCGCCATGCCTGAGGTGGAAGAGTCGTCGGGCGCGTCGGGCACTGACGTCGGGGTAACGCAGGGATTATCGCGACTCGCGAACGTCGCAGGCCGACGTAGGTCTCGACGATGATTCACGGTGCTCTCGGCTCACGAGAGAATCACTGGTGAATAAATTCTCCGGACACGCGCGCAAATCGAACCTCCCGCCGTGCCATGTGTCCTTCCGCCGCCGTACGTCCGCAGCAACCGGAGGGAAATGCGCGCGAGGGTTGCGAACGCGAGGCTCGACGTGGTGAAGAACGACGACGACGACGACAGGGGAGAGAGCAGCATCGGGCGCGCTTCAACGCTTCGCTCCTCCACCTTCTCCCGACGGAAAATGCGTCAATCGACGGCGCACCACGAACTGGCTCGTCGGACATAAAAGCAGCCCTTAATATCGCGTACACGCGCCCCACCTCGCAACCCCTAACACCGCCATATTAGCCTCTCGGCCAATGAGGGCGCGTGCTTTTCATCCAAAGCCACCCCGTAGTTGGGGGTTGAATGAAGCCTGGGCGGGGAATATTTTGCCCTTTCCGCGTAAATCTCCGGATTTTTTCTGGCCCCCTCACCCGCCTCGTCCTCCCTGCCGCGCGCCGCCCCCCGCCCTCGCGCCCGTCTCTTTTCGCCCTTCTAACTGTTTCCTGTTCCTCCACATTCGATCCGTTCTCGCCCTACACGCGTCTTCTTCCCCCCCAGGTGAGTTTCTCCCATTCGCCTCGCGTCTTCCTCCATCGTGTGTCTCGTCCTTTCTCCTCTCATTCTTTATCGCGTTCCCGCTCTTTTGTCTTCCTCTTTATCCGATTTTCCCACCTGTTCCCTCCTGTCCCTTTTACCTTTCTTCCGTCTCTCCGATAGCCTCCGAAGTGCAAAGTTTCGATGACTTTGAACGATTCTTGACGACGACGACGACGACGTTGCGCAGATTTCCTTCCGCCAACGATCGACTTCAGGACTCGGTTTTACTCAAGACGACGTTGTATAAAATCGACGTTTCATCTATAGTGAGATCCGCTAACACTTTACTTTTTTTACTGCTGTATGAAACCGTGTTTAACAACTAGCATGTATTGCAAGTTCACGGAGAAAACAAATCTTGCTAGAACAGCAAGCGTTTGTCAATGTAGTGATGGCAAAAAAATGTTTTGCTGTCTAAACAAATTTATTTTTGTTGTCACTATATTGACAAACATTTGCTGTTTTAGCAAAATTTGTTTTCTCCCTATTACCACAAAATTTTTCGAAAGGAAGAACAGTCGGTCGACGTGAAAAACGCGACTTTCTCTCTCTCTCTCTCTTTAGAAGACACCGTTGACCGCGGCTTTAGTCGGTATAGTATACCGCAAACCTGCTGGTGGTGGACTGCAGGTAAATAAGGGCACAGAGGAACCTGCTGCTTAAGAACCTGCGTTTAGCCGAAATAATTATGGAAAAAAGTGATCGTCGTAAGATCCGTCCCGAACAATGGTGGGTGGCAAGCAACCCCATTAAAACACGATTATCCTAAGACTCGTTCTAAGACAACACCCGAAAAGCGCGTACGCTCTGCCGGCCTAAATCAATATTCTAATCTTAAGACCACGAGACTGCGTGACATTTCGGCGCCGCGCGCCGAAGAGATCCTGTCCTTCTTCATGATTTTTTCCTTCCTTCGCCAAACTCTTCCGCCCGAAACTCATTGGCTACCTGAGCCGCGCCACGAGTGACGCCAGCCGACAGCTATTTTCCCATCTACGTGTCTCGAAATCGCGTCGCGATGGACTTAGCGTTATTGGATCAACGTCAATTCTCCGATAGCAACTTCGGTCGCGCGCGTTAGGTATGTACGCTCTCCGTAAATAACTTTGTACTCATAATTTGCTACAACGGGGGTTGCAAATAGTTCGAGTACGCAGTACGATGATAGAAATTGTATCATATCACACGAGTATTTTCCTACTTTTTTCTCTTTGATTCACGGATCTTTCGATCAAGATTTTGAATCGCTTGTTTCTCAGGAAAAACTTCGACGTCGTGTCGCGAGTCTCTCGACGTAATTGAATAATTTTGACTTGTGATCAGCAGTGTTTGATCAATGCAAAAGAGTAGTTCGGTATTTTAGGGAGAAATTCATCATCGATATAGTTGACTGCTCCTGAAGGAAATTTTCCTCGAAGATGCAACGACTCAGCGAGATCGCGATTCGTCGCTAGTCGACGATCCGAGTTTATATATATATATATATACACACACACACAAAGATATATCAATCTCCGAATTGATTTGATCGAACAGAATGTTATCGTCATCCGTATAAAGGCGTGAGTGTTTGATCTCGTCGGCGTTCGCCTCATAGTCGGGCTTTATCATGCAAATATGGCATCGACACTCGGTTGTTGTGACGATGAAAAATAGATTTATCAAGGTGCTGCTGCGTGACACACCTAATAAAATTGTCAAGATCAGAAAAATACGTGCGACTCTCTCTCTCTCTCTCTCTCTCTGTTATGTGCTAAATAGGAAATCCCAATGGCAATAAATATCTATTTTATTCTATTCTACTCTACGTCGTCAAGTCTCACGTTATAACGCAAATGACGAATATTTCATACAGTGCAAAATACAATCGCAATCTCGCGGTGTAGTATTATACATTCGCCAGGTAGAATTCGGACGGAGTAATAGCAAGCGATGCAAATCGCGGGACAATGCGAACGAAACCCGCTGGGATGGAACGAGGAGATGAGAGACGTTATCCTGCAACCGGACGAGGGACTCATAAGACGGCTGATCGCGAAAGCCCAGATAACACACAGTAGCTAATGCTACTGTAAATTTTTACACTACTTTGTGGTATTAGCCGTCCCCGAAGAATGGCTTCTAATCGGATTGTAATTAGGGGAATTCCATTGTCAAGCGGTGTCCCAGCATTAGAACGATTATCCGCGCGACTTCGCGTTACCAAAGGACAATTTTATACCTGTTGGGACTCTCTCGCCGGCCAAATTTGAAAGAATAAGCGACAAAACCGTTAGAGACACAGGTACGGAATATTTATCCCAAATGTGCGTATAAGATATATTGCATATACCTTGTATTTTTACTTATTCTATTTTTCTCTCTTTCTTTTTTCTCTCGTAACTAAAGTAACATTATTATCATTATTATTATACTAATCAATCAATCAGATTTTCATTGGTCCTTTTTTACAAGTTCTTGATTGCATGTCAACGAAGTCTTTTCAATCTGATTTTCGATCGATAACAAAATCTGCCGGAATACTTTAATTATTCGACATTTGCCTGATGCATCTCATTTACGCGATATATAATCACCCTACATTAAGGATTATCTCGAGTGATGCAATTTCGACCCCTCCCCCACAACTTGCCGGTAATTAGTCGATGAGTCAATAGCCGTAAACTAATTGATAGGAATCGCGCGTACCGCGACGAATAATCCTGCAGTGGGCTCGATTCGCACGACAATTCGCGAACTTTAACGCGTCCGTATGTCCGTGCGTCGTGCAAATCGAATTTGCGTTATCGTGTATCTGCGTAGGATATGGAAGGCCTCCTGTATAATAAGCTTAATTAAGAAAATATTATTACGACTGACTTGTACTTTCGCCGAAACTACAGCCGGACGTTCATAAATCTTCAAATCGAATTCGCAGCGCGGAATCGTGCCATCCTCAAGATTCTTAAGATTACCGATCCGTGAAAACATTGCAAAGTATATCTCCGATTGTACCGTTGATCCAAAGAGCGACTCGAGGTTCACGCCTCGTCAAATACAAGAGAGAAAAAGAGAGAGAGAGAGATTTGATCTTGAAGACAACAAACCGCCGCTTTGCGTGCTCAAACCAAACGATGGAACTTTTACATGACGGTATTCTCCATATACATATATACGTCGCGTCAGCTTCGCTTGCTGTCTCTCCATTCTGTTCCCGAAGCGCTCGAATTTCGTCTAACGCGGTAACGAATAACGTAACGTTGTTCTGCTGGTAAATCCACGATCCACGAAACGGTTCAGTCTCTCCCCCCCCCCTTCGCCCCCTTCCGCCCTCTTTTCCCATTTTTATTTTTTTTTAACGATCGTCATTTGCATACTATGGAAAATAGCTGTGATGGTTCTTTTTTCTGGAAAATTCGTCCCGTAAACAAGGGCCCGTGTTCCGCGGGCTATTCCCCGAGATTAAATGATCAGCCCTCGTACATTTGCGTATTCATGGAGTTCTTGGTTCCATAGCTATCGTTCCGGTAGCTACGGTCGCGTCACGCCGTGTGTCGCGTATAGCTGGCGGAATTCATATAGAGATACATTTCCGCCGTAGCCCGCCGTAAACAGACGTTCGCTCTCTCCGTTTATTCTATAAAAGTCAGCAGTTCTTGGGGACTCGGTTTATCCGGCGTACGACCCGAGTCGACAAAGCCTGGTTGCGCCTCGGGGGCCAATAACGCGACGCCCCTGACATACAACCACGAAAGAGCGACTCCAAACCCCTTTGCCGCTCCTATGCCGACGTCGCGTGGCGATCTCCTCGTGTCGGTTAAATCACCGTTGTTGTCATCCGTAAGAGAGCCACCTTCGCGGCGGCAGGAAAAACCAGCGAGGGCAATTTACGGGCCGAGGAGTCCACGTCGTCGCCGGCGGTATTTTCCGCGTTGTAAAAATAAAAGAAATTTATTGCGATTAATCCCCGGAATCGCGCAGTTCGTCATGCATTTGGTTCTTGTTGTTTTTTTTTTTTCAACATACTTCGAGGCACATCCACAAACTGTTGATTAATCGACGAATGAATACGATTAGATCATTGAGATGAATTTGGAACGCGTGGTGATTTCTATCTTTTACATAATGTATAAGGTACAGATAGAGATAAAATCGGTAGCCTTTAAAGCTCAAGCTGATGATTTTGATGATTCGGTTTAATTCAGCACTCATGTAATTATATTTTCTTTGATGCTTCATTCTTTAGTACTATCTATAATCTGTACTCTCTACTATCTGTAAACAGTACTATCTATAATCTATATTCTCTACTATCTATAATCAGTATTATCTATAATTTGTAATCTGCGATTCGCTCTCTCTCTCTCTCTCTCTCTCAGATATTTTTATAATTTAATCGGAGATATTTCGTAGAAGTTATACGATTTTCAACGAAATTAGTGTAAGAACGCAATCAGATAATTAATACGTCTTCATTTCGTTCGTTGCTGTTTCGTATGCATTTACAGACCTATCTTAAACATTTTATAGGCTGCGGCTTCAGCCGTTCAAGTCTATACCGGACTACTTAATCGCACGACTTTCGCTTCGTTTATCTCGTAAAATTCAGTGATTCTTCGTTTCATTCGGAGACAACAATACGCGCTATGGCCTCGGGGGCCAATAACGACGTCCTTGATAACCCGTCCTCCCTCGGAGAATCAGCGTCGAGATTCATTCCCCCTTTATGTGGAGAGAAAGCCAGCGTCAATTTGAAGCACACATTATCCCGCCGTCTTTATATCGCCGGTAATTAATTCCGCCATTTGCCTCGCGC